ATAACCAAAAAAAAAAAAAAAAAAAAAAAAAGACCTGTAAATGCAAAGTGCCATTTATTATTTTCTTTTTCCATGATGAAAATACTGAGTTTAAAAAAAAAAATAAAAAAAAAAATTTTGCAACAACAAAACGCTCGAGAACGCCTTCTCCAAAACCCAGCACCAAAACCAACTGAAAATACCCTAAATCTTTACGAACTGTCCCTGTTCCCCATCTCCCACTTAATTTAAGAGGCAAAAACCGTAACGATGAGCACCCCTGCAGCTCTGGGGGTCCTTGCCCAGGCATGAGCTGAGCTGGCAAGCACAGATTCCCCCCAAATCTGGGGTGTCCCCCCCCGGGTTTGCCTTGGGGGGGGGGCCACAGCTGCCCCAGGCGTTTGCCCTGAGCAGGGCAGCGACTTTGCTGGGGAAGGGGGAGGGAAGGGGGCATGAGGGGTTTGGGGTTACCAAGTCACGATGCTTGATTTTGGGGGGTTGTCGTGGTGGGAGCTGAGGGCAAGCAGAGAGGATGTCAGCTGCCAGCCCAGGGGGGCAAAAAAACCCAATCCAAACCAAAACAACCCCAAAACAGCCCCAAAAGGGAAACACACACAAAAAAAACCCCACCCAGCTTCCAAAAATTATCTCCTGGTGGAGGGCTTTGGGATCACAGAGCCCCACGTGGGGGGAGCAGGGGAGCGAGTCACCCAAAATACATCCATGTGGTGGAAAATGAGGTGACAGCGGGGCGCTGCCATCCCCACAGCGCAGCCGGTGCTGGCAGGGACGGATCCTGGTGCTTTCCCGGGGCTCAGCCCTCGCAGCTGCAGGGCCGTGGCCACCGTGGGCCCCGGGGGGGGGTTCTGCAAGGTCCAGGGGGTGCTGGGCAGGGAGGGACCATCAGCCACGGTGGCCTTTGGAATACCCCGTGGCCTTGGGACAATGTGGGTCTCGGTGGGTGGGTTTAATCCCCGCCCTGCAATGCCCAGCCAAGGCACCCTGCACCTCCCAGCCAAGGGGAACAGGGGGCTC